GGAGTGCAGTGGCACAATCTCGGCTCACTGCAACCTCCGCCTCCTGGGTTCAAGCAATTCTCCTGCCTCAGCCCCCCGAGTAGCTGGGACTACAGGTGCACGCCACCGCGCCCAGCTAGTTTTTGTATTTTTAGTAAAGACGGCGTTTCACCATGTTGGCCAGGATGGTCTCGATCTCTTGACCTCGTGATCCGCCCGCCTTGGCCTCCCAAAGTGCTGGGATTACAGGCTTGAGCCACCGCACCCGGCCCTCTTGTGGATTTCTTTTGCCTTCAAGCATTTATGATATTTAAAGAATTTATCACCATTATAACTATTAACATTAGCTTTCCAAACACAGCTAAACTATGTTAATTTGTAAGGAAATGTTTGTTAACTCTAATCTGCCTGGCAGTCTTCTCCCATCTCCTCACTAGAGGAAAAACTCATTTTTAGCTTTATTTATTGTCCTTATTCAAGTTCATATTTTCTTACAATGTTTATAATCTCCAATTATTTTGAATTTTCTATAATAGCATATGTATCAATATATATATGGAAACATGTAACTTTACCTAGATTACTAGAAATTATCTTTCACTGTCAGAATATAAGTAGTTTATATTCCACTAAGATTTTATTTAGATTAGTTTTATTTAAGAAATCCTGGCACTTATCCTTTAACCTTTTTACTAACATACTGTACCTTACCAAAGTACACATCAAGTTGAGAGTGTGGGAGCATTTGGCCATGTAAAACATCTCCCAAGGTGGCGCACTTTGCTTGGTTTGATTTGCTGCCCACTTAAGATGATGCCTAGTACTGGTGGTGAAGAGGCTCTGCCACATAGAGCCTTCCACGGGCCAGCCTTAGCTCAAGCCCATCACGGATGCACTCTACCTTACTCATTACAACAGCCTTTTAAAGCAGGTAGGTGGGAACTCTACTCATTTTAAAGAGAAGACAGGTTTAGACAAGTCCACTGACTTAACCAAGGACCCTCAGATAGCAGGCGTCAGAGCTGGGATCTCTTTAGGTCTTTCCAAGACCACACTGCCCACCTCTCACTCTCACTCCTGCGCCTGCTTGCTTTCACGGGGTTGTGGAATCATCATATTTCACTTAACAGATTAAATTATTAGGTGCTTCCAGTTCTTTAAAGTAAAATAATACTTACAGACTATATAAGTAAAACCAGTCAGCTGTGTTCTTCTTTTTGTTCTATTGTATATTATTTATGCAAATGAATGCAGAATAGTTTGTGCATTTTTATTAGGCTTTTGAAAGGATCTCTAATTTATAATTTACTCTTTCTTCTCCTGTAGTTGTGTTTCATATTTACCCTGTGTGCTGCTCTTTGGGTAAGTTATGTCAGTCCTACTGGCTTTCAGTTAACTGTCCCCTCCCCAGGTGAAGTGTCATCACACCATTATCTTAAAATAGCTCACCTGTTTTTTTTTTTGAAAAACTCTCTAAAGATTAGGTGTTCCTGAAATTTGATGTGGTGACATCCAGCTAATGGCTAAGAGTGCCATACATTCTGCTGTCCACAGCATAGGGGAAGTCAGTAAACACACATCTGCACATGTGTTCACCTACACAGACAGTGGTTAAACATGCCATAGATTCTGT